TGTGGAGGAGCTACCAGCAGAACGAGCATCACTTTGCTACTGTAACCTCCTCTGTGGGGTGATTAGAGGTGCCTTGGAAATGGTAAGGAAGTGCATATCTGTTTTCACCATTCTTTGTTAATTCACAGAGGCACAGGAAAGCAAACCCACCTGCTCAGATAAATGAAAATACAGTATTGTTTAAGCTCTCAGATTAAATGTCTATATCTAAATAAAAGAGGGCCACACTGACCCTGGATCCTGAGGTAGAGAAACACACAGATTGGCTCACCTCCACACTGTCTCTGCCTGGCTCTTCAGTGTCTGACTTGGGTGCAAAAGCCAGGAGGGATTGGGGAGCCAGCTGACATGTAATATGCAGAGCCATGGGGGCATGCTGGGTTCCTCCACTGCTTCTTGAGCCTATAGCACTTTCTTCCACAGCTGTAGCCAGTAATAATCACCCCAGACTCAAATATATGCAGATAGGTAATATTCTCAGGTAACTGCAGCACCTGCTGAAAGGGAGAACAAAATGTGGATAAATCTAATGTTAAAATCAAAGCATCAGAAATGTATCAGATGGCATTCCAAATTTTGTTCTTAAATTTAAAACTTTTACAAAATAATAAATAGAGGGCATAATTTGAAAGTTACTGAGCAGTAGAGCTTCTGTGGCTTTTTCTAGGAGATTACTTTTGGTCTGCTTTATGTTACTGCCAATAACTTCTTTGGCATGTATTTTATATTTCAAGAGAAAATAAACCTGAGCAAGTATTACGTATATAAATCAGACTCAGAGTTACGGTATCTGATACAAGACTAGTTAACAAAAGTATTATATCATTAATTTTAGTATGTGACCAGGAAATTTTATGATCACAAAATCATCAAGTATACAATTTAGGTTCTCAGAAGAAAGCAAAGCACTGGAATGAAGAGTAATGTATTATACAAATACCAGTGCATATAAATTTCCTTTTTATTAACTGAGTTGGGAAAGACATTTTAAAACAATCTAGAAATCTGTTTCTTATGAAACCTGAAAAAGGGAGTCCTCTTGTGGTAAGAGGGAGAGAGAGAAAAAAAGCTCTTATACTGGAGGAGGGTGGAAAACTGGGGATTTCTTCGCTTAACTGATCAGACTTTTTTCTTTTCAGGTTCACCTAGAAGCAGAAGTCACCTTCCTCCAGGACAGGCTGAAGGGTGATGCTGTGACAGAAATAGGAATTACATTTTTAAGGAAGCCTGAAGGCAGAAAGCACAAAAGGAATAAATGAAAGAAATATTGGGAGAAACCCTTGCTGAGGGATATTTTGTGGCTTTTGTTTCAGAAGAAGACATGCAGGGTAAAAATGGTCTCACTGATCCAGCTGCACGAGCCACTTGGTTGAAAGGTGAAGACAGCTGGACCATAAACAGGAGGGGCAGGGCAGGGAAGAGCAATATTAATTGTCATGACACAGATATTAAAATGATCAAAATGACCTGCCCTTCCTTCTCACATAACCATGCTCTTGAGCTTAATGCAAGTTTTGTCTCAGTATTTAGTGCATGCTGGATGCAAAATATTCATTTGGACATCAAATGTTCTCAGACAAAGATGATAACCTTTTCCCATTTTGTTTTTCAGTAATATTTCAAAGCATGGTTGCTAAGAGGTGCTCTATTTCCCTGGCTGTGCATGCTAAGGTATAAAGAATTCATCTGCTCTGGCTGCTGTATGCCATGTGTCGCTCACAGGTGCATGTTTCGATGTGTAGTGGTTTGCCATTCATTGTCCTCCATGCTGGACATCCTGCTGCTTTGATTCCACAGAGGGATGCAGCTTCACTGATGGCAAGAGCTGGTTGGGTTCCTTACTGCTCTTCCAGGCCCCATATGCAGTTTTGCTGGTATATTCAGTCCTGTGCGCACAGCAGGCTGCAGCCTTCTGACAACTGCAGCAATGCTTGTGTTGCTCCAAGCCTTTTCATGTCAGCCCTCTCTTCAAGAGCACTCATCTTATGATCAAACTGAACAAAGCATGATGTATCTCATGTGTAGTCACTTTAGATCTGTACTTGCCTAAGGAAACTTGAATGAAAATTCTAAGATTGCCACACAAGTGGTTTGGTGGTCATTGTGTCTGGTCTTACCTGACCTTCACCATCAGCTGTTGAACATCTTCCCCTTGGCATTGGACTTTTTACCACAACATGACTGGGAAACAGAGAAGGAGCAGCCTCACAAAGACCTGAGTTACAGGAAGGGTTTAATGTTTTTCCATGTAACACAAGATATCTAGATGAGGGTTGGACAAAACCCCAGGTCCTAGCATGATACCCTACCCACTAAGCCAGCTCACCTTCTCCTCACCAAAGCACTTGTTTTAAACTGAAATAGAAACAATTAAGTTCATTGAAGCCCAGAGTTAACCCTGATTTTATCACTGTGATTTTAACCCTCTTCTCCTATTTTTCCCTCAGTCTGTTTACCTCTTAATCCTGCTTAGTGAGGAGCATCTTTTACCTTGGGGACTGCAGGGTTCATTCCCACCAGATCTGTGTAATCTTCATGATAGTCCTTTTCCCTTCATACATCTTAACAGTGTCTTACAGTGGTGGCAAAGTGTAATGGAGCTTTAAGAGAGCAATTTTGCACAGAACAAAAACTGAGCTATTCATTAACCAACCTTGGTCTCAACCCAACTGCTGTTATCTGCTACCAGTAAGAAGTTACAACATGTAACAATGTCATGTAACAATGTGTTACAGCCAGTAACAAGTTTCCATAGTTTTTATTTGCTTTGATTTGGGTTTTTTGGAGGGGGGGGAGTTGTTGTTGTTTTAAATCGGGGCTAAAAGGTCTTGTGGAATTTGTCTGATTTCACTGCCGGTACAGGAGCCCTTGGTGCAGTTTTTGCTGGTTGTATCTAGCTGGCTGAGACGGACGTGTGGCTGACCACAAAAAAATGTTCTTTATAAGGCCATTTTTACTTTTTCCAGCAACATCCTACTAGCCAAAAGTTACCTTTTACGTCTTCAATATGAGAGGTAAAAGGTAACATTTTGAACTGAATTGTGCTTCATGAAGGCACAAGTAACAAAATTGGACACTTGGTACTCTATTATCATTAAGTTTCTTGGAAGGAAAAGAGCACTGAGCAAGTCAGTGCTTATGACAAAATGAATGATCTTAAAAATTATTTTCTACATATATAATTAAATCTTGTTTTCCCTTTATGTGTTATACTTTCAGTTTATAGTGAGAAAGAATCTTCCAACCTCATTATATTCAGCTAGTTAAAATAGGCTCTTCCCTTCCTTCTTCCTTGGAAAATGAGTATAACAAATAACTTCTTGGGATTCCTTTCTGTCTGTCTGAATAGTTTCCAAGTTTACTGTGCAGAAAGAGAGGATTTCTGAGAGTAATAGGACAGCCCAGACCAAACGATCTGACTCACCTCTCCTAAAAGCTGTCTTAGGAAAAAGCTTTTCAGATGAAAACTGTACTTTGCTATTCTTCACTCAAAATTGATATATTTGTTCTTATAATTTGATGTTCTTTGATAAGGATATTATTATTTGCTAATATGGATTACAGATTTATAATATCCTTAAGTATGTGGTTGTGCTATAAATGTTTGTTAATATATAAGCTTCACTTACACTGCCATGTTATGCATAAGCCTAATCCCTCAAGACAAGTTAATTTACACTTTGATAGACTCCATTCCAGAGCAAGCAGCAGTCACAAGTATAGAGGCCATGTTGATGAGAACACAGCTGCGATGGGCAGGGCACGTCTCCAGGATGAAGGACCACCGCCTCCCTAAGATCTTGCTTTATGGTGAACTTGCCACCGGCTGCCGCAAGAGAGGAGCCCCGAAGAAAAGATACAAGGACTCCCTGAAACAACATCTCAGCCTTGGCCATATTGATCACCATAACTGGTCTACTCTGGCCTCCAATCGGGAGGCCTGGAGACACACCATCTATAACGCAGCTGTCTCCTTTGAGAACACACGCAGGATCACCCTCGAGGAGAAAAGGCAACGCAGAAAGAACCGTGTTTTGCCGAATACACCATCTAAGGAGTCTTTCTGCTGTGCCTTTTGCAATCGGATATGTCTGTCTCGTATTGGCCTCATAAGTCACCAACGTGCATGCAACAAATGTGGATAGAGCCTTCCCAAATCTTCGTTCGCGAAGCCCAGCCATGAAAAAAAAAAAAAAATGAGACTCCATTCTGGATGAAGTTAAATAGTGTATTTGGCAGGGACAAGCAAATGTAGCTTGGGTGTAGCTTAAATAGCTTAGGTACTGATGCCAGGGTCAAAACACTGTACGTATGATTATATCTTTTAAAAATCCCATAGGAATTAAGTCCTTTTGAGAAAAATAAAAGGAAGAATGTAAATGCTAAGTTTAATGTTAGTGTATTTTCCCTGCAGCATTCATTCAAATGCCTATTTTTTTCCATTAAAGAGCTTTACAATTACAGGAAATTAGCAGTAGAGATAATTATGAAGGACTGCTGCAAAAGGTGACCAAGATCAGGCAGTGGTAATGAAAATTCACTGCCATGGGAGCTTTTAGCTTCATGGGTACTTCCCAAAGCTGCTGAGCACATAGAGGTAAAATGACTGGAAGCTATTTGGTCAGCAATTCAAACTGATATGCAGCTGAAATCATTCTATGGACCCCTTTGTTATGCACAGGTAGCTCCAAAAAGGTAATTGCTTTCCAGATTTTCAAAGATGCTGTTCTTGCCTTGAGCAACTAATTGACTGAAAGTAAATATCTTTCTGCTGCACTGAAAGCTCGTCAAGTGAGAGCTAATAAACTAAGCTGAATTTCTGATCAAATCTTCCATTTGTTTTGTCTCTTTGATAAGTTTTGGTATTGTCACTCGAGCTGCCAAGTGCTCTTAAGCTGTTTGGTAATAATCTGACATAGTATGTGCTGACATCTTTTCGAATGCTGATAATTTTAAACATATGGCTCTTCTTAATGAACAACAACATATGAAAAGTCCCATTGTGACAGATGTATTTATTTAAATGTATTTAAGCAAAAGTAATAAAGTCTATTTAAAACCAAATCTGCTGAGGGTTACAACTATCATCTTTTACATAACGTTTGCATAGATTTCAGCACAGAAGAATACAGAATAAGACTCTTCTGGTTAAAAGACTGCCAGCATTGCAAAGGATTTGTTTCACTAAAACCCTGAATCAATTGCATCTGTTTCATCAACAAATCCTAAAACAGTGGGATGTTGACCGTCTTCCTCAAAGTTGGCGCTGTTGCCTCTGTTTGTGTTCACATACTTGTGTATCATGCTGTAATACTGCTCTTGTGAATTGAATGTATACAACAACGAAATCTTCTGCCAGTCTTTGTTGCTGGGAGTATGAAATGCTGCTGGGTCAGTGCCTTCAAAAAAGCAATTTATATTTGTTTCTGCCAGCTTGGTTGCATGTTCTTTGGCTTTGATCTCAAAGAGTTTCTGTTCTTCTTTTGAGTAAATTTTCCAGAACTTGAGCTGAAGATAGCTGACTGGGGAGCAACAGTGGCTGACACATGTTGAAATCAGTGCCACAGTCGTGATGATGGCTATCAGGAACCACCCTATCAGCTTGAAAGAAGAGAGAGGTTAATGGTGGTTTTGCGTGGTCATATGAAGGAGTATAGGAAATAGCACTGAAGAAGATATGAAAACTGTAAACAAAGACACTCCCTGGAGTGCATGTAACTGTCTGCTTGCTGCCAAAAGAGGGGATTCCATGCACACAATTCAGCCAGTCATACAAAGCTTCTGTGCCCCTGAGCTGATCTTGTTGGATTAAGGATGAATATCAAGAAAAGAGAAGGTGGTCTGAAGTTATTTTCTCAGTTATATCCAGCTTTCTTAACTTTTAAGGCAAAATATTGACCATGAGTTTCTCCAGTTGTGGTCAGATTTATGGTACAGGGGATGCAAAATCACCCTGTGTGCCTCATGCTTGAAATCAGACCTCCTGCTGACTGTGCTCTATCTGATTGTGGACAGTAACTGCTCTCCCTGATGCCTGAGCATGCAAAAACAAACAGGGGGCACAACGCACAGGAAAAGTTGTGTCCCGTACATTTTGTAGGCAGGACACAGAGTTGGCTATAGAATATGGGAATTCATTTTTGTTTTATAGACGATTTAAACATCCTTAGGTAAGTCTCAGGGGTCCCATCAAAACCAGATGTCCTAGTAGATGCTGATCTGTCCTTTAAATGGTACTTAGCTGGAAGCTCCAGGCAGAGATCCTGCAACATCCCCTTTTATCCCAGGATGACTTTTTTTTCAAATGAAAAATTATCGAGTGCTAAAGAAAAAGGAGTTGGTGTTCTTTTTGGTTCTTAATTTTGTAGACAGTAGATTAGATATTAAAAAGTGGTCAGTAACAAAAATGCTCTCATACTTTTTCTGTTTTTGTTTGACTGGATGTTTCTTTTAGATTTCATTGCAATATCAGTAACAGTCATTCTTCCTTAATTTTTCTCCTTTCTTACCCTACCTGAATTCAATGGTATAGAGTTTGCTCCTTGTCAGCCTCTTTCTTGGAGAAGGAGCATGCTAAATATTTAACAAATGTAAACATTTTTTAATTTTAATAAGCATTTGTACTAAACAGGAACTTACAAAAATCTGAGTAATTATAAACTCTTATAAACTTAATTCCCTTAACCAGCCTTAATGTTTTCCTGAGGAAAAGTTACAAATTCTGATTTTTCTACTGGAATTAAGACAAGATCCATACAAACCTAGAAACAAAATTGAAGTGCTGCCAAAATTTGGAGGTTTCATTTCACTCTAAACAGAGAAATCCACACACAAGTGCTATTTTTTGATCATGCAATTTGTCTTCAGCACAAGAAACTTTAACAAGATAGATATATATTTTAACTACTCTGGTAGAATACAGGTGTAAAATTATTAATAGGTTCAAGTGTTGAGATTCATAGTCAAAGAAGCTGTCCTTATTTTTTCAGTTGCCAGTTCTCTGTTGCAATCAGACATCAGCTTTCCCTTTAGTAGTGATCTCAGGTTCCCCTCAACTAATGCCTTTTTACAGAAGTTTGAGATATTTAGAGATTTAAAATGTGGAAAAGGAGAAGAACTTGCACCATGCCTAACTTGACTGAAAAGAAAACTTGTTGTGTAAAGTCCCAGTCTCTAGGCTGGTTTCCTGCCCAACTCCAAATGAGGTTTTGTAAATGACAGTGCAAACACGCAAATCCAGAAAGTAGCATAAATATACACCTATTGCTTTTCTGTTACCGTTTTTTTGCTAATGAAATTTTGCTAGTCATATACCTGTGGTACATGATATTATGCAATGTAAGAGAGAAGGATTGTTTACAGTCCCCAGCAGGCACTAGTATACATTGAGGAGCCAGGGTCAAAACCCAGAGTGTGAGGAGAAGAGAGGTGAGGCTTTACCTGGGACTGTGCCTGAAGCCTAAGAAATTCACTTGATGTGTTTGTTGATAACTTCTCATCACAGGGTATTTTGAACAGCAGGTTTTGGCACTCTTGTCCTTGATCTTTACAGATGAGATTCTTTATCAGGCTGTTCCCACTGGCTGCACACACGTAGGAGTTGGCGTTGAGCAGGGCCACGGCTATCCAGGTGAGTGGAGCCACCGAGGCTCTGGCTGTCACTGGCATCAACACCCAGCAGTAGCGGGCACAGGTTCCCCTGGGGCTGCAGTCACGGCACTTCTCCGGAGGGCAGGCGCCTGTCAACAGGCGCCATGTCCGGGCATTCACCATGTAGCCGAGCAGCAAGAGGATGAAGGCAGGCACCATGAGGAAGACAGAGCCATACAGCATGTTCCCAGAATTGCAGGGACACTTGAACACCACAGAAGAGAAGATGTACTCACTGGCAGCTGTCAGCAGGGACACAATGCTGTAACCCAGAACAGTTTGGTGGCGGATGCAGAAATTCAGTGCCTCACGTAATCTATCCATTTTCTGCCTCCCCTTACTTTGATGAGAGCAAAATCTCTGTCAGAAAAGGATGAGAGAGAGTTGAATGTCCTGGAGCTCCCACGGCTTAGAGAAGCTTGCAGAACTTTCACTTTCTGTTCTTGGTGGTGACGCAGTGAAGCACAGAAACAGCTCTCAGAGGAAACAAAAGAGCACGTGCTTTCTGCACAGTATCAAGGTCAAGCAGAAACCACAGTGGAAACCCACTCCAGTTTCAACATCATCATGGCTAGGCTTTGTGAATGAAGATTTGGGAAGGGCTCTACCCACATTTGCTACAAGCACGCTGGTGGCTGAAAAGGCCAATGCCAGATAGACAGGCCCGGTTGCAAAAGGCACAGCAGAAAGACTCCTTAGGTGGTATCGGCAAGACACGGTTCTCTCTGCGTTGTCTTTTCTCCTCGAGAGTAATCCTGCGTGCGTTCTCAAAAGAAGCAGCAGCATTATAGATAGTGTGTTTCAACAGCAAAACAACAAAGAGCTTTATTTCTATAAAAATAATTTGTGTTTGTCCATACATGCGTAGTAGCTAGTAATGTCTTACATCTCATCATCTTTTCAGTGAAGCTTTTCAGTGAGGCACCAGATTCAAAGTGGGAATAAAATGTGAGAAAGCCATCCAGAACTGAATAGAGATTTTTATCCTGCCTTACTATTAGCAATACAATATGCCTTGATCTCTTATGGAAGAAAATTCAGCAATAATCATGTTAATTTTTCAAGATAATCAATCAATCTTTTTTAAGTTGTTAGAGCAGTGCACATGCAGTGATGACCAAGCAAATGACCCACTGAAGTTCCAGCTACCAGAATATTATTTGCCAGGAATCAGATTTTGGACTCCCTCCTCCATACCAGGTAGTGGCAGCTTTGCAGCCCAGAAAAGAACAAAACAAGAATGCTCCTAAACCAGCAGAAACTTATCAGATGGTATGAAGTGGAAAAATGATGGAAAAGGCTTGCATAATGAAGAAAAATATCTGGAAGGGATTCCCGGGCATGGAAGACTCAGCTACCTGTGAAAATACTTGCTCAGAGTCTATAAGTTTCATTTACTCCCTGAGGGAGATCAACCAGGCCCCTAAGGTTTGTCTTGTCTAAATCTAGACAAGTTGAGCTCAGAATTAAGGAAGTTGAAGCTTTGTTTCTTGCTTGTAGTCATGCAGCTGAAGCTCCCTGAGGCAATGTAGGTAGGTAGTTTGCTTTTGTCACACCCACATGTGCAGGTAGCTGGGAAGCTGGTGGTCACTGTCTTCTCTGCCACAACCACTTATATGGGATTTTAGAGTAAAAACTCACCTGCTTCTTGCATAAACTGGGAGCTCTCTGGCTTCATTGGATGCATCAGCAGTATGAATTCATCCTGGTCAGAATTCAAATGCTGTAATTTATAATGCGCTGATTCTTTTTGGGCATTATCATGGCACAGAGATTAACCACAAAGTCAGAGCTTCACCCCACTCTCAGGCAAACATTGCCTCCAGCTGGACCAGACTGATTATGATACTGGCTGCTTCAGGCAAGACAGTCAGGCATGATGTTGCCTGTATCACTCAATGCATCACCTAGAGCTGCAGAAACCAAGCCTGGTGGAAACACAATGGCTTATCAAAGCTCTGTCAATGAACTTTGTGAGTGATTTAAACATTCCAAAGGGGCCTTTCAGCTCTTTGGGCAGCTGAGTAGGTGGCACAGAGGTGGCAGAATAGGCAGCACCACTTCAGGTGGCTGCCAGGCTCACACCAGATGTGCTGTGCTCTGTGCCAAGCTGCTGCTGCAGAGGAAAACATGTCAGTAACCAAAATGCTTGCCTTGGTCTAGAGGAGACTTTGTTATTGTGCAGCAGTATCATAAAAACACATACAACTAAATAGTATATAAAACTGAGTGAATCAGACTGAAGTTTAGCCTGACCTCATCTTGGTTACAGCCAATAGCTGAGAGGGACCACAGGGAACAGGGGAAGGAAGCTTGGGAATGCACTCATACTCTGTGAATCTGCATTTCGGGGATTTCCTTTGCATCTGAAACCTGTTGAGGTATTTCTTTTGTAAATTTGTCTGGATTCTGTTTTAACCCATGCAGACTTACTGACATCCAAAATATTGAACTGCAGGTGTGCTCAACCATCTTTCAAACCTGACACCATACCATTTGATGTCCCCAAGATCTGGAAGGGAAAAACATAAAACAGTGGATCCTTGGTGTCTCCCTCAACTTATGACCTTGTACATCTTCATCATAGTCCTCTCTTCCCCCGGCTGAGGAGCCCTTTATATAGTCATATGAGGAGCCCCTAATATAGTCATTCCTCATCTGATGTATTCCTTTGTATAATTTTTTTATCCATGTTGCTACCTGAACTGTTGTCTAGGATTCAGGTATCATTTTTTGCATGAGGGGAAATGGGAAGTATACCAGATTTCCAGTGCATTGAAGGTGCAGCTGAACCACAGTTTGCAACAAAGTCATACTGATGTTATTTGTTTTCTATTTCCTTGCAATAATTCCAGCATTTTAACTGCTTTGTAATAATCCATGAAGCACTGAGTCGATATTTTAGCAAACTACGTATTATAATAAAAAAACTCACTTTCCTGAGGGGTAGTCTCAGTAAGCTGAGAGTCTATCAGTGTATATATGAAGGTAGGATTTTGTTTCACTTTGAACACCACTTCTTCTACAATTAGACCTGCCATTTTGCTTTCTGGTCAGGCAGCTAAGAAAGTATATCTCCAATTCTTTAAAGCAGAGGTTCATTTTTAAAGATTGAGAATAACTTTGTATTATTGGCCACTACTGTTGCCTTGATTTTTACTTAGAGGCAACTAGAGACAATCGTTAGCATGCCTTGAAACCAGAATTCAGCATATCTGAAGAAGTCTTAGCAAATGCCACATCCCTGGAAGTGTTGCAGAATGGGTTAGGTGGGGCTTTGAGCAGCCTGGTCTAGTGGAAGGTGTCCCTGCCCATGGCAGGGGGGTTGGAACTGGATGATCTTTAAGGTCCCTTCAAGCCCAATTCAAAATTTGATGATTCTATGATTCTGCGTCAGAAATAACAAATGCTAGTCGAAATCGCTGCAAAGGTGCCTCCTGGCAGAAACAGGGATCTGAGCTGCCTCCAAGAACCACTAGTTTAACAAGGGAACTGAAGGACCAGCGACAGCTCTCTGGAACAGATTATGACCTCAGAGGGGAAAAAATAGAGCCAAGAAATCCTGCTATTTCTCTTTCTGAGCCTAATTTTAGCAGTGTTTTATTTATCTGTAATAAAATATGATTTCAGGAACAAGCTTCCTGTGACAAGGGAGTGGAGCTCTGCATGAAAAAGGATTAACCCTCCTCCAAGCAAACATGTTTCCAGTAAATATTCACAGAAAGTGGTGGGTGAGGGAAGAGAGACCACCCGAGTTGGGAAGTGGGGGAGTAGCTATGCTACCCAGAATTCCAATTTAATGCTTGGTTTTGCATTGATTTGCATGAAATTTCATGCCTTCCAAGGGGGATGGGAACAATGCTGGAATTAGAAAGATGAACATTTTTAGAACAAAATGCTTATTTTTGTTATTTGAAACACCTATCTTTTTTTTTTTAAATACTATTTATTAAAATGAAGGGGTCAGAGGAAAGCAAATGGACTTGTTTAATATTTTATCAAGTTTCTCCTTGATGTTTTTAATTTCTATGCTTTCATTTGCAGATGGATGAATCTCAGGCATCTTCTAGGTGGAAAAAGCTGTAGTCTGACTAATTCTGTCATTCCTTCAAGTCATAACACTGGTCCTAAAAGCATCATGTGTGCGTGCATGTGCGCTCAGGGGTTTTACCAGTACGTATGGTGTGGGTCTTGTTTTCGTTACTTTAGTAAGTCCTTACCATAGGTTATTTATTTTTTTGCTGGGACATTTGCTACTTGTTCAGAATAGTGAAAGACTGGTTTTGTTTTTCTGCAAATCATTATCTTTCTAGCTGCTCCATCCATGGCCCATCCTGTCCTAAATTCCTGTCATTGGTCTTATCAAGTTCTACTTCATCTTCACATTATTACTCTAAAATCTTGTACATCCACAGATGCAATGGAAAAGAGCACCTCCACACTGGTTTTCTGTTTATAACGACTGGACTTTCTTCTCCAAGTGAAAGAGCTGTAAGCTGCATTTCTCAGTGCCCAGTTCAGAAGGACACATGGAAAAGTCTTTTTATTCCAGGAAAATTCTTGTAATGCCTTTTGTCTCAGTCCAGATGAAATTAAAGCTTAACATGTTGGAGGTCCTGTCCACAAGCAGATCTGCACCTACCCTCCAGGTGGACTGACCACCCCCAGAGGCCCATTGCCTCAGTTTGTGAAACCAAGGAAGTTATTCTGACTTTATGGCTGAACCAGCCTTCTTACAAGTTTGTGAAGTGTCACACAGCTCAGTGGCACCACATAAATCATTAATAGTACTAATACTTAGTAGACCAGCAGCCTGAGAAGTAGCACTGTGCCTGGGCCTGCACAGCTTACAAGCATTTGTGTACCTTATACTGCTATTTTAAGGCATTACATTTATTAGCAGTTTTTGGCTGAAAACAAATTTTTAGGGGGTAGGAAGGAAACAGGTCTGTAAAACCAAGCGTGGCTCTGAAGGAGGCTCTGACGGGTGAGCTCTGGTACAGAGTCACATAAGCCATGGCACTTTCCCTTGCTGTTATTTAGTGCTGCTCTTTTAACACTATAGATTCACTTAAAGTCTAATTTCTGTATGGGGAGGGTCCTGTGACCCAGTCCAAATGTCCTACAGCAACCAGCTGTGTGAGGATTTTACTGTTCAATCTACAATGTACATGAGCCATAAATAAGTGTGTGTGATTCTTTAATGTTGGCTGTGGATTAAGTGACAATTATTTGATGAGTTTATAAGAAAATACGACAGAAACATGGGATTAGAAGGACAGAAGTTGTCATCTTTTATGATGAAATTAAAGAGTCTTGGTGAGGCATAGTTGTCTTTTGTAATCAGGTATATCACCCTGGGCAGTCATCTAGTTGGTTCTAAGAAAGAAAAGCTCAGTCTTTTCCATTTACTATGGAAAATGAAATGCCCTAGAGTTACTTTGCAAATTTAAGTGCATTAAACTCTAAATATTTCTATATTTTTATTTTGTATGTCACACCTTGCTGCCTTGGAATTGCTGAATAGCTGAGATTTCATAGCGTCATAGAATCATAGAATGGTTTGGGTTGAAAGGGACCTTAAAGATCATCTAGTTCCAATTCTCCCTGTTATGTGCAGGGAACCTTCCACTAGACCAGGTTACTCAGAGCCCTGTCCCATCTGGTCTTGAACACCTTCAGGGACGGGGAGTCCAGAACCTCTCTGGGCAACCTGTTCCAGTGCCTCACCACCCTCACAGCAAAGAATTTCTTCCTAATATCTAATCTAAATCTACCCTCCTTCATCTCGGGATGATTGTCCCCTTGTCCTATTAAATAGATTTGATTCTGTTCCACTCTATGTGTGCGTATGTGTGTGGCCTAATAGTGGCTGATCACATTCTACAAAACATGCTCTGTACTCTTCTATTCAATTAATCCTTCTTCCTCTTTTCAAACTTTAAGAAATTAACCACTTCTTCTGTTCATGGTAGTACACTCCTCTCTCCAGTTTCCCATCCCGGGTTCCTTTGCTGCTCATATCTTGTTGCTTTTATTTTCTAACAGTAAGGCAGCACAAGGGTCAAGACCCTATCCCTTTCAAAGCTGTCAAAGGATTGAAAAGTTTCTCGCTTCTGACCCTCAACCTCCCTTACTCATATTGCTTATATTTTTTTAATCAATCTAATCCTGAGCTGCAGAATGCCCAAGCTGTTTCAGTTTACCACAAATGTGCAAACTGTGTCAGGCTCTATGGTAACTATGTCTGGCTTGTATTAAAGGCTGAACTCTATTACACTCAACAGCACTTTTGTGTGCACTTTCAATTTTTTTTTTCAACAGGAAGATATGATTCAAAAGGAAAGAATGATATATGGGACATAAGGAGAAAGCATTCCCAGTTGCCTATATTTTATGTTAGCAGTAACTTTCCAAGGTTCTGGGTCTGCCTTCATTTATTCAAATACTCCATCATCATTGCCATTTTTATTTCCATGGCATTTGCAGCTGTAAGTATTTCATAGCATTATTGAACATCTTCTATATTCCTCTAGCTTACATAAAGGTGGAGTTACTTAAGTGCCCTCCCAGGGACTCTGCTCCTTTGTCCATTTTCCCATTGCTAGCAACCTGCAGTTGGGTTCACCAGAGGAAACTCCACGAGGCATACAAGATTGTGTTTTACCAGTGTACCACTTTAGCTGTCAGAGCCAGATCCTCCACACAGCTTACTGGAAGAATGTCCTACGGAGCCTTGGGTCCTCTGAGGTGGAATAAGATAGATATATGATGCTTTAAGGCAAATTGATTGCATACTGTTCACCACTCACTGGGGAAATAGGATTGCATACTGTTCACCACTCACTGGGGAAATAGGATATCATAACTGCCAATGGGTCAATTGCTTCATTACCCGACAATAAGTGAAAGAATACAATTATTTTACTTGACCAAAATAAGGGTTATGCCATATAGAAAAAAAGATAAGCATGAGAGAAGTGAATATAGTTCTAGACTATAATTAATAGCAAAGAACTACTATAACTACTTCAGCATCTTTACTAAGCCGTGGAGCAGCTTGGCCTTCCTTAGCAGATCCCGAATAGTTTAATTCCTTATCCCAAGGACAGTCCTGTTCTTTAGGGAGGAAAAGAAATATGCATGTGCTGATCACCTATTCCCTTTTGCCACAGGGCGAATTCATCGAGCTTACTCTCACAGCAGTGTCACAATGTAGGGAAGTTTCCATGCCTCAATCCTCCTCAAGTTTTCTTTACGGCCATTTCCTGTAGGCAGATCCAATGGGCCCATCTTTCCTGGCATTCCTATCTTACTGTGTTATAGTTTTTATGAAGACAAAGTGGGATACCAGGTTTTTTATACTCATGATTTTAGAATCATTCCACCTCCTTGAAGAATGCCTTCCAATGCAGGTATGAAGCTAGATTGAGTATGTA